GCCCGCCGGGTTCGGGGCCCGCCCCCGAGGCGGGGCCGAGGGCGGGCCGAGGACCGGGGCGGGGACAGAGAGCTTGAGAGGAATGAAGGGGGCTCCGGCAAAAAGAGGAGAGGAGCGGGTGCGGGTGTTGAGACACGCCTGCCAGAGACTGTCCTGGAGGGGGGCCACTCCGGCCGGCGGCAGGGGCATCGACTTGATGACCTCGGCTGCCTCCACTGAGACTCCTTCTTGGGTCCAATGTGCGTGCCAGTGCTCCCGAGGACCCTGTTTGTCTAGTTTGCACATTTCTCCTTTCTTCGCCCCTTCCGCCGCACCTTCTCCGCTCTGCTCACCGCCTGTCTCCTGAGTCCCCAGACGGCCCTCCCCAGTTCCCTCTGCACACCGTCCCTGTGCCGCTACCTTTTACTAGTCACTTCCCTCACTAAGGACGGGAAACCGAGCTCAGGCACACGGACATCTGGCCCTGCTCTTCAATACTTCTTCGAACAGTGGAGATGGGGGCGCCCGGGACAGAAGCGACCTCAGAAGTGGGACATCATCCCTAACCTCTTCCCACCTCCTCCCTTTGGCCACCACCTTTCGGAGAACCAGGGTCTCCAAGAGCCTACGCTCCGCGCATTTGCTGCCCTCTGGCGGTCGAGTGTGAGCAGCACTGGGGACGAGCAGTGGGAGGGCAAAGCTGCCCACTCCCCGGACACCCCACCCTCCCCGAACAGGTCCTGGGATTCCCACTCTCTGGGCTCTGGGCCGTATCCCCTCCCATCCCACCTGGGCTGAGAGGTGAGTGAAGCAGGGCAGGCTGACTTTGAGAGACAGGAGGGACATCCAAGGGCAGAGGGAAGCGGTGGAGTGAGAGAGAGAGAATGAGAGGACAGTGATGCTGGCGGAAGGGCTAAGGGGTAGGAGCTACCCAAGCAGGAGAGACAGCTGGAGGGACTGTGCCATGAATAGTAATGCCACCGCCACCAACCACCTAATGTTGATTGAGTCCTTGGAATGTGCCAGCTTCTGTACTGAGCTCTTTGCATGGATTATCTAATTTAATCATCACAACCACTGTCTGAAATAAGTAGTATTATCATCTTCATTTTATAGGTAAGGGGACTGAGGTTTAAAGAGGTTAAATAATTTGTCCAAGGTCATAAGCTAGTAAGTGGCTGAACTGGGATTTGAATTTAAACCTGAGCAGCCTGACTCCAAAGCCATGTACTTCACTGCTGCACAGTACTTCCAAAGGCCTGTCTGCAGCTTTCCTGCAGTCCTCATTCCCCTGCAGAATTTGACACTATCGATGCAGCCCGCCACACTCTGTCCCTTGGCTTCTCTAACTCTACAGGAAGGAATTTCCCTCCCCACCTCCTTCAATGGCGCCTCCATTTCCTTTGCTCAAGCCTCCTCCTGTTCCCACTACTTAATTCTGCTTATCCCCCAAGGCCGAGGTCGTGGCCACCCTACCTTTCTCTCTCTGCTCCTCCCTTACATAAAAATAATAATGATAACTTGCGCAGGCCCCAGTGGTTAAGCACTGTGCAGAGAAAGCTGGATCCCTGCATGGCCCACCGGGGTTTGAATCTTAGTCCTAGGGATGTAAAAACCTGCTGTCCAGGGCCAGCAAGAGGCATGGGGGTTGAGGTGCTAGACTCCCACATGACCCACTGCAGTTCAAGTTTGGGTCAGTGACTTGCTCTCTCACTTTCTCTCTCTCTTTGGTGAGCACATGTGCCTGGTAGCAAATTTAAAAAATAATAGTAATAATAAACAGACTGGCCATGTGCACGAGCACCCAGGACTGACAGGATGGAGGACTGAACAGACCCTGTTGGGAGTTCTTTTTCTCGCTCTCTGTCTTGTGCATTTACTCTGGTAAAACAAATGACAAAAATAACAAAAACCCGGGGGCAAAAAACCCCAGCAGTAGTAATAGCAGTAACGTAATAGTCATGTGCTAGCGTGCTAGGCATGATGATTACGTAACACTACGCACAGCCCTGTGAGGGGATACTCCACCATCCCATTTTATAGTTGGTAAAACTGAGGTTTGGAATGGCTAAAGAATTTGCCTAATGTCACATAGCCAGTACCTTGGAGCAGTCCTGCCAAAATCGGTGTTGTTCAATGCCCTGCTGCACTCTCCAAGATTATCCGTGCTCACGGCTTTAAATACCTCCTCTAGAGGCAGTAGAGCCATGACCCCTGCAGGAGTCCGAAACCCTAGATTATCCACGTGAATCGACTAAGTAGCTTCGTGACCTTGGACAAGTCCCGTAACCTCTCTGGGTCTGTGTTTTCTCAGCTATCAAAGGGGCCAGTGAAAGGTGGCTGAGACCCGAGGGTAAGTGTAAGGCGTTCAGGGAGGAGAAAGCATTCCCTGTACCTTATGTGTCAGGCACGCCCTACCAACTGCGCTTTGCCACATGCTCTTTTCTAGCCTTTGTTCATGTTCTTTGCTCCAGTCTGGAATGTTCTCTGGGTCACTTTTTAAATCCTACTAACAATTCTTCAAAGCCCAAATCATACGTCACCTGCTCCAAGTTAAACCCCTTTTCCTCTGCTCGTTTCCTTTCTTCCTGCTTAACTCTAGTTGGTCCTTAAGCATCACCACATCCGGCAAGTCTTTCTTGACATCCCCTTGGGCTCCAGACCAGCTAACTGCCTCTGACAGCACTTCTCTCGCTTACCGTCTTACATTTCCTGCTAAACCACGAGCTCCCCGAGAACAGGGAGTCCTGTGTCCTTGGTACCAGGCACAAAGTCTGGCACATAGTAGGTACTCAACATTTTGTTGTTGTTGTTTAATTCAATCTTTGTTAACGTTTCTGTCATAATATTTATGACTTCCTTCCATTTTGCTGGATACATGTCTGTCTCTCTCCCTGAGTATAAAGTCCTTCAAGACGGGACAATTTTATATTTATCTTCATGCCTCCATTGTACCTAGACCAGTGCCATGCTTACAGCTAATTTCCTTTTCTTTTTAAAAATCTATTTATTATTGGGACTAGCTGTTGGTGTAATGGCTACATTGCGGAACTCCCATGTAGTTGACCGAGGTTCGAGTCCTGGGTATAGTGGCTTAAACTCATGCCGAGCTCATGTGTGTGCGTGCCCAAGATCCCGAAAGGAGAATGGAGGAGAAGGGACTGAGGCATGGTCCTCCCCCCGAGGGGTGATTTCTTGTTTTCTGTCTCTCTGTCTCTCTGGCGAGTACACATGCCTTATAGCAAAAACCTCTTAAAAAAAATCTATTTTTTATTATTATTAAAACATTTTTTTTTGAGAGGTTTTCGCTATAGGGCGCATGTGCTCGCCAGACAGACAGAGAGAGACACAGAGACAGAAAGCGAGAAATCACCCCCCAGAGGGGATGGTCACGCCGCAATCCCTTCTCCTCCATTCTCCTCTCGGGATCTTGGGCACACATGCACAAGCGCCTGGCGTGAGTTTTAAGCCACTGGGTCTGGGACGCGAACCACGGTTGACTACGTGGGAATCCAGCGACATAGCCATTACGCTAACTGCTGGTTCTCAAAAACAAATTTTTTTTAAGAGAGATTTTTGCTATAGGGCAAGTATATTGCTGGAGAGACAGAAAGTGAGAAATCACTGCCAACCCCCCCAGGGAGATGGCCACATCACAATCCCTTTTCCTCCATTCTCCTCTCAGAATCTTGGGCACGTATGCACAAGCGCCTGGCATGAGCTTCAAGACTTTGTGCACAGGACTTGAACCTTGGTCAGCCATGTGGGAGTCCAGTGATGTGACCACTATGCCATCTGCTGGTCCCTATTTGTTATTATTTTTATTTTGACCAGAGAGGGACAGACAGAGGGGGAAACGGAGAGTGAGAAAGCAAGCTTCTAGGTCTGGAACTCGAACCATGGTCAGATATGTGGGAGTCCAGTGCCCCAACCACCACACTACCTGCAGGCCCCAACAGCCAATTTTCTTATCTGTAAAATAAGGATGATAACAATAGCTACTCCATAGGGTTGCTATAAAGGGCAAGATGTGAAAAGCACTTTGTAAACTTTAAACTACAAGGACAATGTTGCTTTGGAGTTTGGGAGGAGTTAGGGGTGCAGCTATGGTATAAAGAGAACTCTATTTGGAATCAGATGCTATGGGTTCAAATCATACCATAGGCACATAACCATGCCAACTTATATAAACTACTAAGCCCTTCTGAGCCTTACTATCTGTCTTCCCACTGGTCAGACAGGTATAATGACGCCTACCTTGCTGGGTTGTGACGATTAAATGAGCTCATATACAGAAACATCTGCAGGCCTAGTGCAGTGGAGTGCTCTGTATGGTTCGTGGCTAAACAGGGTTTGATGGGAGATTATTTGAGTTGGATAAGGGTGGCTTCCCTCAAAGCTTTAGTTGCAGACCTCAGATTCCAAGTGTCTGTTGGTCAACTTTGGCTCAATGTCCTCAAGTGAGTTCAGCAACCTCATCCCAGAGTCGCTTCCTCCCCGACCCTCCCCCATTGCCTCTGTCAGTGGTGACTTCTTCTTTCCAGTCCCAGAGGCCTGAACCCTGGAGTCATTCTTAACTCATACCTCTCTTCCCCGCCCCCGCCCCCGGCACCAGTTGGTCGCCATGGCCTGTCAATATTTCCTTGGAAACACCTCACCCACCCTCCCTTCCTCTACTCACATGGCCACTGCCACCAGCTGGCCTGGCCCTTGAGGCTTCCCTGCAGGCCCACATTGCTGGGAAAGCCTCCTAAATCACCTCCTCCAGTCTCAGCTCCCTCTCATCAGCTACCCCATTCACTTCCTCAGACACTGCTCTTACCAAGTTACTGTCCTGCACCAGAATGGCAGAGGCTCCCTATTTCCTACTGTATAAAATCTAGCCCCCCAAGCCCTAGCCCACAGATCTACTCCCCCTGTGGGCTCCAGGGAGCTAGGACTCAAAAACAGGCACACTCATCTTCCTGCTTCTCCTCTCTTTCTGGATTCAGCACCTGCACCCCCTCACCTCCCTGCACTCACTACCACCAACCCAAGTCTCAGCGCTTCTCTAGATAGGGCAATTCGCTGGGGCACTAAATGAGAAAATGCATATAGAACACTTAGCACAGTGTCTGGCTCTGAGCGAGGTCTCGACATGGAGCAGCTGTCTTATTGTCAGTAGTATACCAGATAGCCGACAATACTCATCATCGACTCAAAGTAAGGAAATGGGGCCATAGGAGAGATAGGATAGGAGGAGAAGGCAGAGGTGGGTCTGAGGAAGGAGGGGTCTGGTCGTTACTCACGGTGCTGTAGTTGCTGAAGAGGCCCAGGGTCGGAGCCGGCTCCAGTGGGAAGGGCAGGATCTGCTTGAGGTCCAGAGGGGGCTGCCTGCTGGGGGGAGAGGGAGGGGCCCCGCCCGGCTCAGGCTGCCTGAAGGGCAGAGAAAACATTTTGTGGGGCAGGAAGACTGAAGCTTGGGAATCCCACCCAAGTCCGTTGGTCTAGTTCCCTAGCCAGGGCCCCCTCTCTCAGAAGTGTGAGCCCCCTCCCCGTACACGCACACGTATGTGCACACGTACACTTCCCCTGCTGGCTCCGGAGCACTGGAGCATGGTGCCTTGTGGGCCTGGGGGAGGGTGTAGACACAGCCTTCCCTGTAGAGGTGGTTTTCACTTCTCCCTTCTCCGACCTCCTTCCTCGGAGACCTTCAGACGCGTTACAGACCCAGGAAGAACCTAGACCTTTCAAAGGTTGTTTTCACCAGAACTCAGAGCCCCAATCCCAGGCCGCTCCCTCACTTTTCCTTTTCCCCAGGAGACCCTAAAGCTTTGTATTACCCCAGGAAGAACCAAGTGAAGGGGGTGCTTATTCCACTGCCCAGAGGGGAATACTGAGGCCTAGATCTGCAGGGGGCTGCTGAATCTTTCAGGATCCCTGGAGTTAGGATCTCATCCCAGTTATAATTCTTAATGAGCTGCGGACATCTCTGGGGTTCGGGAGTGGGTGGGTGACATTTACTCGGGAAGGTGGACCACCTGGGCCTTTCTCAGGGCCCCCTTTCCCGACCTTTCTGTCTACCCCATGCCTCTCTGTCTCACTGGGGTGCTCAGCTCCAGTTCCGCAGGAGGAACGTGCCTCTGGGGGGGAAATGCCTGGGTCTGCCCCAAGGGGAAACGAAAGCCCAGCCCAGCTAATCAACTACCCCCTCAAACCTGCTTCTCCTCTCCCCCCACAGTCATGGGAGGAACACCAGGCTCCAAAGAGGCCCTCAGGACCCTTCTAGGCTTCCACTAGCTTAGCTTCCTTTGCAACCCTGCTGTCCACCAGTTGTGGGGAGCTCTGGCTCCCTGCCACTATCCAGCAATCCCCTGCCAACAACAGGGGCTCCCAGGAACAGCGCAAACCCAGAAGCTGCATGTCTGGTTCCGTCCTCCTTGACCTTACCAGGGCAGAGGGTCCCTGGGATCCTTTCCTGTTCCCTTCAATAGAGACTGCCCCTTTTCATACCTTCAGTTTCTGGTGCCCGCTGCCCCCAGGCAGTGGCCTGGCCCTGGCCCCCCAGGGGCCTGGGCCTGACAGCGTCCCCTTCCCTTGGTTCTGCCCTCTGCCCCCTCCCTTGCCAGCCCCCTCCCCCAGCCCAGTCAGTAGAATCAGCCAATCAGAGTCCTAGAAAAGTGGGGCAGAGGGGAGGGCGGGGGAGCAGGGATTAGGGGAATCTGAGGCGAGAGGGAGGGGGTGGGGAGGGCTCAGGCACAGCTGGGGGCAGGGAGCTGGTCCAGAAAGGTCTGGAGGGGTCTGTCTTTTCCACCCAGTGCCAGGATGGGGTGGCCAGGGTGCTTGAGGCACAGAGGGGTCAGGGCTGCTGGGAGCTTGAGCTCCAGAATTTTAAGGGCTAAGGGGAAAGGTAGGATGCTTGGCTTTGGTCCTTGAGCGGCCGGGGGCCTGAGTGCCTGTGTCCATGTCCTCCTTTGCCACCTTCAGAGTTGGGATGGGGTGGGAGAAGAGAGACTGATGGACAAAGAAAGTGAGCGAGAATGGGAGCGTGGTGGAGGCAGAAATAAGCAACAGAAAAGGTACAGAGACACAGAGAGAAAAAAGGACAGACAACAATCGAGAGATGGAAGAGTGAAATGACATAAAAACAGACACAGAACTAGACGCGGAGCTCGAGCCTAAGTAGAAAGACAGAAGCTGGGGAGAACGAGAAAGATGAAAGGAGAGAGAGGGACAGGCTGACGGGGCAGCTTGACCATCTCCCCTTCCTGGTCTGTCCCCTCTGTGCCCCCCCTCCTCGCTGCCTGGCACACGAGGCCAGGGCAGCCTTAATGAGCCCCGGGTGGCACCAGGAATGGTGCGAGAAACCTGAGTGCTCCCAGAGTCCCCAGCACCAGCACCCCCCACAGCTGGTTTGGCGCTGGCACTGGCCCTGCTCCTGCCCAGAGCACCAGAGACCATGGCTTGGCTCCCTGACCCTTTCCCTGGCTCCAGACCCTCTAGGCTCCCACCCCTCAAACCCGTCTTAGAGGAGAGAGCTGAGTTCCTGAAAAAGAAGCAGAAAACAATTTCTCGAGGAGCCACTATATGCCAGGTAATGAACTCCCAGCACTGGCACATTTAATCTCTGAGGTTTTAATCTCTGATTCTACGAAGTAGCTGATACTACTTTTTCCGTTCCATACGAGGAAACTGAGACTTAGTGAAGTTTAAAAACTTGGCTGATGTCACGTAGCCTGTTAGAACCGGGGCTGGATTTGAATCAAGATCTGCCGCACTCTATAGCAAATTCTTTCTCTGCTACATCACTCCCCAAGGGCTCCAGTGTAACTCTGAAGCAGAGCTCTGAACACAGGCTTCCATCTTGTTCAGGAGGAAGGGGAAAGGCAAGTCCATGCACTTTCTGGGGTCAGAGTCCTCATTTTTGCTCCAATGGAGAGGTGGCAGAAAACAGGTAGAGGGGTGAGAAAAAAGGGTCCGCCGCCACTCTGTTCTCTATGGCCGGCAACTCATCTTTTCCACTGATGCGAGCCCTGGAGGTGGGAGGCGGGGGAAGGAGAGGGGGAAGTGGGAGGCAGGGGTGAAATGAGGGTAGAGCGAGGGGAGGAAGCACTGGCAACTGGAGAGTCATTGTCCCCTTCCCAGGTTCCTGAGTTCACTCCACCCTGAGGCCTGAGGTGGGGACAGGGCAGATGGCAGCTTATGGGCGGGCAGAAACAGGCTCTTGGTTTCATGTCACCCGAATCTCAGGCCCCTCTCCCTCTTTCTGAGAATAATGAGTTGCCACGTTTGGAGGGCTTACTGTGGCGGGGCAGTTCACATACACAGCCTCCCAGCAAAGGTGGCCCTGCTCTCTGGCTGGGTGACTGGCTAGTTTCTTGGACTCTCAGTCTCATTTCTCACCTGCCAAGTGAGGACACCAGTACCTGCCTCACAGAGTTCTTAAGAGGATTGAAGGGATCCATGTACAGTGCTGGCAGGCCACACTGAGAACTCAATAAACGTTTGCTGAATAAAGGAATCCTCGTCTTATAGGTGATGCCAATTGGCTCAGAGAGGGTGAGTTAGTTGAGCAAGGTCACACAGCTAGTGAAGGATTTGAACCTGTCTGTCTGGCTCAGAGACAGCGCTCTCAGGCACTACGCTTTCCTGGGTAGGCTGGGAAAGGGAGGGGGGAAAGGCAGGAATTACATGTAGGAAGGTCTCAGGAAGAAGGAACTGAGGTAGGAAACCTGGGGTGTTTGACATCTGTCTTCAGGTGAGGGCTTCAGGCAGGTTTGGAGAAAGGTAGAGAACAAACGAGTGCGCGTGTGTGTGTGGGGGGACACGGGCGCACACGCATGCACGCATGCCACCCACGTCAGGCAGGGCAGGGAGGAGCTGGAGCCTGGCAGGGGCAGGCCACTCCAGAGGGAAGCTCATTAGAGTAATTGCCTCCAGCAGATAGAGCCCCACCCAGCTCCATGGGGACTTGCTAAATGCTTTATTAAAGACAGTTGCCAACACACTGTGGGGGGTGAACCTGCAGACCCTTGGATGGATGTCTGTCTGTCCACATGCACATCCTACTTATACTTAGCCTTTGGCATTTTGATCCTGCTCAGGTTTCCTGCCAGCCCTAACCAAGACCAAGCCACATCTGGCCCTCTCCACTCCACCGAGACCTGGTCTTTTCCTTTTTCCTTCTTCTCTTTCCCGCTAGGTCCAGAGCCCCAGCCTCTTGGCTACCTTGCATGGGACCTGGGGCCTAGAGCCCGGTGGTAAAGAACAGGAGTGTCTGCTGTGAGCTGGCTCAGGGAGTGGCTGGCCTGGGTAGGAGCAGGAGCCAGGAAAGGTGTTAGGGTAGGGCTGTGGGTTAGTGTTGGTCTGAAGACTGAGCCAGAATGAGATTAAGATCAGAGAGTGGTATTGGGGTTAGGGTTGCAAGTAGTCAGGGCCCAAGGTGGTGAAAAGCACAGGTTAGCGCTGGTTTAAAATGAGAATTTGACTCTGGAGCCAAGGGAGAAATCAGGAGCTCATCTCTAATCCACCTCTCTTCCCCTTCAGACCTTTGCCATCTCCTCCCTTAGAAATGACTAAAATCAGGTGGGGGTTTGGGGGGCCTCAAAGCTCTGAGTATTTTCTTCTTGACTGAGTCCCATGTATCTATCTGTCTCGGCTGCCTCGATTCCCCCATCCTGGCAGGAGTCAGGCTGAAGACTGGAAAGGCTTTGAAGTCAAAGATGAAAGAGACAAGGGGATGATTATGAACAACTATCCAAAACATCATCCTTAATAACCCCAGGTTGGATGCGGGTAGGGGCGGGGCCTCTGGGAGAGGTGGCCCAGAAAGAAGAGCAGGGAGACCCCTGGTAAATCTATCCCAGCCGACTGGAAAAGCCTCCAGTGGCTCCGTCCTCTTACCCTGCAGGGACTCCAAAAGGATGGTACTGAAAGGCTCCACCGGGAACCTGAGTGCACAGCCCCCACCTTAACCAGGGGCCCAGATTCTAGGCGTTGAGCAGGCAGCTGGACCTCACAGACCAGGCAAGGGCATCTTAGGTCTCCTCCAGGGTCACCGTGCACACGGCCTCAGTGGACCTCAGCATTCAGACCTGAAAACCTTGGTATGGGCCTTGAGGGTGGGCCTGGGCCCTGGCTGGCAGTTGCCTCCCTCTCTCCCTCTCACAGAAGGCTACGGAGTGTGGGCCCCACCGGCTTTCCCTCCCCCTCTGAGCCTGGCACAGGACGGGGTTAATTACAGGGTCCATCCTCCGGGGAGATGTGGTAGGGTCCAGCTGGTGGCTGGGGCACCAGTTTCAGAGAACTTGGCCTCAGGCATCCTCCCCGTGATGGTGACGGGGTCTTGGTTGGGCTCAAGCAGGTCCCTCCCTGATGTCCTCTGCAGGTCCTGCTGACCAGGGAAAGTGGTGCTCGCACGTGCCTGAGCTGAGCGAGCGTGACGCTGCCTCTGGGGCCTGTGCCCAGGGTGGAACCAGGGTGCATGGATTGCACAGGTTGGAGGAATGTGGAGCCTGTGCTCTGGGGGGCCGAGTCCAACAGGGCTGGCTGGCGGGAATCACTCTAGGGTGGGGGTAGCGCTCACAGAAGGGAGGGGGATACCGGCTCCTGCTAGAGATGCTCTTGGGAAGGAAGCAGGCAGCCGTCATTCATGCCTTCGTTCACTCATTCATTTCATAGAGGGAAGGAGCGCCAGGAGGGGTGAGACGTAGAGTGGTGAGGGAGACTGAGGGCACGCGGGGAAGGAGAAAGGATGGAGGGTAGAAGGGTGGGGGGAGGCCACTAGTGGGAAGTCAGTCCATGGGGTAGGAGGGCAAATGATGGAAGGAAGAAGCCCTGCTGCTGGGTAGACAAATAGCAGAGGGCCCGGGGGAGGGATGAGGGCAGGAACCACTCAAGCCCTCGGGCACCTGCATGGAACCAGAAGACCCCAGTGTGGGGCAGGGAGACCACAGGTGTCTGGGCCTGGTGGAGGTTCCCACCATAAACAGGCCCAAGGAACCGGCCTAGCCAGGGCAGAGGGCGGAGGGCAGAGGTCAGAGTAGGCCTGTGGACTCTTGTGCAGGCAGGGCGGAAGGTAGGGAGCTGATGCAGAGCCCAGAGCTCGGCTAGGCCCTCTCCTCCCCCACCCTGGGGCTCCCTTCCCGATGTAGGTCATGAGGATGGGGTGGCTGTGGCCGACGGGCTGTCAGAACCCAGCGGGACTTCCCCTCCCCCACCTCACTCTCCCGTCGCCCCTCCCTCTCCTGGTGCCCCCGGCCCAAGGCAGGGGTGGAGGGGAAGAAGGAAGACGGGAAGGAAGGGCCCAGACTGCCTGAGCAGGGAGAAAGGGGCAGGTCCCGGCGTGTTGGGGCAGGATGGCTGCGGAGACAGGCTCTGAGCCGCAGGAGCCCTGGGATGGACAGTTTCCCACCCTCTCTTCTCCCCAGCCCCATATCTCTAGCCCTCAGGTTCCTACCTCCCACCACACTCACCTCGAAGCTACACCCACCATCTCCCCCCTCCCGCCCCCCACTTCCTCCTTCCCTCTTATCCTGGGCCCAGAAGGATGTCGGAGTGTCTAAGCCAAGGGTCGGGAAGACGCAGGGGGGGACGGGTCAGACCCTTTCCCCCAACTCCAGCAGCCCAGGACCGGCCCCCTCCCCCAGCCTCTCGTAGACTGTCATATAATATTCATGAGCCTCATGAATACGCAATGTTCTCATTATGGGGCCGGGGTCTCACTCCGCTGACTCCCCCTTTGCCGCTCCCTAGATTACCAGGAGAGCGGCAGCTAGGGGAGAGGGAAGAGGGGACCCCAGATGTGGAGCCAGATGAAGGGGGAGGGGGAACCGGTCGCTGACGGGCGGCCGCAGTCACCGCGGTGCGGGGAGGTTGGGGGGTGACCCACTGAGAGGCACCCAGGAGCCTGGAGCCTGGAGTCGCAGAGCCCACTCACCGAGGATCATGCTGGGGACCCAGGCGCCCGGGGGTCCGCGTCGCTCCGCAGCAGGTGAAGACGGGAGGGGGGGCCTGGGCGCCGAGGGCTCCGCGAGGGGGCGTCCTGGCCTCTCCGGCTTCCTCCCGCCTCTGCTCGCCGCCCTGGTCTCGGGGCTTACGGTGTCGCTGCAGCCTGGGCTGGGGGGCCAAGACGTCTGCCAGACCGTGCGAAGAGACAGAAGGAGCAGGAAACTAAGATGCCTGGGGTCCCAGCCAGGGCTGAGGGCGGGACGTCTGGGTCTAGGCTGATGCAGGGCGGGGTATGTCGAAGTACTCTGGGAGGGATGGAACTGGGTTGGTGGGACCCCTGAATCCCCTCCAGAATGACGTGCTGGGGCGGGGCCGAAGTAGGTGCGGCAAGAATGTTTAGGTCCTGGTTTGTTTTTCTGGCTTTGGAACAATATGCTGGGGGTTGGGGCCTGGAGGCGAAATGGAGGGTCGTAGATAGATCCCAGGTTGATCTCTGGCTGGGGTGTGAATGCCTGGGCCCTCCGGGAAGGTCTGAGTGAAGCTACTGGAAATCAGTGAACACGAGGAAGGGGAAACAGAAGCAGGTAACCAGGATCGCCAGGACAGCAGGACGATGACAGAAGATCCAGAACTGAGGCACGATCTTGTGGAGATGACCTGGATTGGGGTGTGTGTATGTGTGAGCGTCTACCCAGGGCCGAAATCCAGGCCATTCCCTGCTAATGTGGGCTTCTATTGAAGAGGACCGGTGGGGGGTGTTTGGTGGAGGTAGGGGAGGACAGAGTGTGCAAACTGAGGGAATGCTGGGGGCGCCTGCAGGACACAGGGAGCTAAGGGCCGACCGGGGAACGGGGCTGCGGGTGAGCACAGCTGGAGTCTGGGAGTCTGAGAAGTGCCTAGGGAAGATGTAGCCCGGGCCTGTCTGTACCTGCCTTAAGAGGGAGGATGGCAGGCGGATTTCCCAGAATGCCAAGCAGTCCGCTTCAGGCCAGCCCCAGCCTGAGGGAAAGGGGGTGTGGCTGGGAACTAGAACTCTTGGGATTTAGGAGGGTGGAGGCAGAGAGGAGGGGGTCTGAGAAAGGGACTGGATTCTTGGAACTCTTCAGGAAGGGTTCTGGAGGGAATTGGGGACTAAATGGCCAGTTAAGGTGCAAGAAGTTGGAGTTCCAGCTTCTGGGCCCCAGCAATCTCTTGCCCTCACCCCGTTGATCTGGTGTAGAGAAAAGATCTAGGGCCATCTCTGTGGCCTGCTGGTTAGGGCGACCGGATCTCTCATGGCTAACTGTGGTTTGAGCCTGGCCCCAAAAGCTTGAGAAACACGCCAAACATGGGTGTGTACATTCAAAGTCCTGATAGACTGGGAAAATTAAGAGGGATCGAGGCATTCCCTGCTCTGTTGAGGGGAATCCTTTCTCCTCTGTCTCTGACTGTGGTGAGTCCACATACCAAATAAATAAAGAGACAGAGAGACAGAGGGAAAGTGAGATATCACACTCTCAGGGGAAAGGAGGGATGGCCACACTGCAACCCTTCCTTTTCTGTTCTCTCAGGATTTTGGGCATGCACACAGATGTGCCTGGCGTGATTTTCAAGCTGCCGGGCCTGGGACTTCAACTGTGGTTGGCTACATGTGAATCCAGCACCTTAACCACCACACCATCTGCTGGCCCCCATCTGGGAAGTTTTTAAAAAATCTGTTTCTGCACCTGCCAAGATGCTCCAGTTCAAGGGCAAGAGAATGCTGGGGATGCCGGTGCCTTGGTCTTGTTCTGATTCAGAGCCCCAGACATCTCAGGGCAGTGGGGCTTTGCTGCCCAAGTCTGGCCTTGGGAGAGGAGATGAGGTCACTGAGTCCATTGGACGAGGTCCTCCTAGGCTAGTCTCAGAGCCTAGTGGTTAACAGAGCTGGCATTGCCTGAGTTCCAGCTTCGGTAGCTTGAAAAACATGCTATGTGTGTGTGCCCCAAATCCCAACAGGATGGAGAAATGGAGAAGGGATTATGGCGTGATCATACCCCAACTGGGGTTGCTTTCTCCCTCTCCCTCTCTCAGGCACATACACTCACTCTCTGGCAGGAAAAAAAAAAATCTTCTCACTCTGGATCCCACCCACCACCGCACCGTTCAACTCCAATATCACAAAGATTGCTTCTCCTTAGACCCAATCCTCCTTTCCTCTTCTCACTCTTTCTTCTCCTGCGTGAACTAAACAGGGTCAGCATCAGGCATGGCTGGTCAGTGATGGAGACCCCTTTGCCCCCAGCCCTTGTCCACTTTCTTACAGTGCCCCCAGGGACTCTGGGTTACAGAGCTCTCAGAAAAAGGGTTGCTTAGCTTACCAAGGGGAGGCAGCTGGCTAGAGGGCGGGGTGACCTTGCAGGCAGCTTTGGGGGGGAGGTGGACAGTGTGCAGGGTGAATTCATTATTGATGAGCCCTGCACCCCGGGCTACTAATGAGCCCAGGCCGGCTGCTCTAATTGATGTCAAGAAACTTAAGACCCCCAGATCAGCTTCCCGCCTGCCAGCTGCCTCTCAGAGCCCCCTTCCCCTCTCTGCCTCCCCTCCCCCGCCACTCTCTTCACTTCCTAGGGCTTCCTTCCTTCTCTCCATCTCTGTCAACTGAGACAAGAATAGGGCTCAGGCCTTCTCGCCTCCCCCTACCCCTGCTCCTCCGGATCATTCTAGTCCTCAAGGCGCACTTGCTCTGGAGGGCTGAGAGATCTGGGAGAGGGAACAGAACAGAATCTGAGAATTATTGCTCAGGGACAGAGTGGCTTGTGCTAGATTACATCTGCGCATTTCTGGGCCCAAGGAATTCCTTCCTTGCATGTGCATCCATGGAGAGACCATGTCACCCTTGTGAAAGTACAGAACCATCACACGGTGACACCCCCATAGCTCCAGCCACATACTCACAGCCTACTTCCCCTCCTCATTTCCTCCCGACAACAGTGAAAGAAATGCCAGATGTGACCCCTAGAGTTTGCTGTCACCCCCTTCTCTCTCTCAAGAGCAGAGACTCTTCTTGATGTAGCAAAAGTATGAGATTTCCTTCCTTGAGAACTTCGGGTATCTTATACCATGGCAGCCGTCCTTGCCAATACTGGGTGCTTCTTTGCCTCGTTTCTTCCTCCCTGTTATTCCCTCTTCATTTGTGGGTTCAGGGAAGACATTCCTGAGGTATAGAATTCTAAGAAGTCCTAGATTGGAGTGTGGTCCAGGCTCAGACTTCCAGGAGAGGGCTATTTTGAGGTGAAACAGGCCGCTATGCAGTTAATACAAATAGCTCCGTGTGATGGGGAGAGGGTGAGGTAGTCCTCATACCCTCCCTTCCCAAAATTCCTATAAATTTGTGGGTATGCTGCCCTCTGGTGGCTAAATTCTGGCCTAGTCGGACACGGACATCTTCGCCTGCAATAACCCCATTTCTCTCCTTTTTGCTGCACATTAGGATAGGCCTGGAGGAGAAAAGAAGACCCGGAGGGACTATCTTACTTTATAGGGTCTCTTCAAAGAGCTGGACTATATGACAGGTTGGTTAAGAAAGAAGGTTTTCATAGATAAGTCTGCATTTGACGCTACTCTGCCACTCACTCTGTGACCTTGGGCAAGTAACATAAGCCCCCTGGGCCTCAGTTTCTCCTAGTATAAATAGGGTTAAGAGTACCTACTCCACGGAACACAAATAAAATGAGATAATGTATATAAACTATTTAGCACCCCCTTTCCCGTCAGCATACAGTAGCAATGAAAAAAAACAAAACAAAACAAAAACAACCTAACTGGCAGTGTTTTTCTTCCAATTTAGTTCCACGGCTTTTTCCTCAACTCATTCTGATTTGGGGAAGTCCAGGTGAGTCTTCTGGACCATCTTCCCTAACCTTCGACTTCGATCTCTGCATTCTCTAGTCCTCGAACCCAAAGAGAAGTGGTTCCTTCCCTTCTCACTTAGGGGTGTTGGGGACCAGATCTCTAGAGTTTGGGTGAGGGGCTGAAGAATCAAGCCTTCCTTTCTTCCCTTTCATCAACTCTTTTACCTAAAATAAGGGACCCTAGAAACTAGCTTCACAGTTGCTTGGGGTCATATTCCTGGCTCCCAATGGTAAGAAGCTGTGAGAGACACAGGCATCTCCTTCCTACCAATTCGGCCGATTCTAGATGGGTTTGAAAAGCGCGGGGCAGGAGGACAGATTCCAGCTCTGGTCAGTGAGGGCACTGGGTTGGGTTTATTGCACTTGCAACAGAGTTTAAATAAGTCCTGGGTGTCTGGGGCCGAGGTGACGGGAGGGCTGGGTGGGGAGAGGAGGGGCAGCGTCAGTGCAGCTGGCGGGCAGAACCCAAATCCTGTAGGCCCAGGGCAGTGGGCTCCTCTTTCTCTGGGGGACTCGGAGGGCCTGTATCTGGCCAGCCTGAGGTTCCAGATCTGTTGCCATCAGGATCCTGGGCAATTCCTGACTTCTCCCAAGCTGAGGGTGAACTGGGCCTATAGATCCGGGTCTGGAACAGGCCCAAATGTAGTCCTGGATCTGGCTGGATTGGGTTACCAATGTCAGAGTCTGAGTTCCAGATCAACCCCAGGCCTCAGAACCCCATCTGAGTTCTACTTCCCCTTGGAGCTGGGTTCTGGGCCAGCACTGATCCTTGTTTGGGATCTGTCCTGAGCTGGTCCTGGGGCACCATCCACAGTTAGTGTTCCTTGTTGGCCCACCAGGGTGGGGGATGTCCAGAGCTGCCAGGTCTCACTCCCCAGGTTTCAGGTTCTTTGCTGGGGGCTTCTGGCAGGGCTAAGGACGGAGCTTTGCAGGTTGGAACTAGACAGGAAGTCCTTGTGGTGTCTGAACCAAAGAAATGCCAGTAGATTCCTTAGTTCCCAGTTGTCTTCAGGAAACTCTCTCCAAAATGCAAAAGCTGCATTTTGGGGCCTCTGTCCTTGGATCTGAGTTCCCCCATCCATGAAGAGGGCATGTGTAAACGAGGGTCCTTCACAGTGCATGGGGGGGAGGGATCCCCAGCTTCTCACCCCCCGGCTCTGGCCCTTCAAGTATGTCTCTGGGCTGGGGAGAGGAGCATCTCCCTGGCCCTCAGCACCTTCAAAAAGCACTCAGTCCCCTCTCTGTCATAGACAGATGGTGGGGGACTGGGTCTTCAGGATTGGGAGTCTGGGATCAAGAAGACTCAGGCATCAGATGTGGCTGGAGGCTTGAGCTGAGCTTTCTCCATGGCCGTGCCATATGGGAGGGAGCGTTTGAAGAATCCGAGCTGGTGAAAGGGAAAGGAAAGAGAGTTTAGGTATTCTAGTTTCTGTTTCTCCCTGGCCCTTGTTCTAAAAGGGAATGAAGAGGACTCTGGTGCCTCCAACATTCCTGTTTTACAAAAGTAACTTCTGAATTCAAGCTAAGACTTCAAGAGGTCCAATGAGCTGAGGAGGGCTAAAATTAGGAGTGGTTTGATATGGGTGGTTGAGTATCTTTCCCCAGTGCCATAAAAATGACTCCTCTTAAACCAAGAATGGCAAGGTTTGAACTTAAGAGCCAAGTCTGATTGCCTAGTAGCGGTTGTCTCTCTCTCTCTCTTTTAATTGCTAGAGGGCACATGTGGTCACCAGAGACACAGGGAGAGTGAGAAAGCACACCCCCACCATGGGGCATGATCGCACTACAATCCCTTCTCCTCCATTTCTCAGCCTGCTGAGATTTGGAGCACACATGCATATGTGCCTGGAATGTTTTTCAAGCCGCTGGAGCCAGGACTCCAGTTGCAGTTGAGCATGTGAGGCCCAGCTTACCTTAACCAGCAGGCTATGGAGCCAGCCTGTGGCTGCCTCTTGAGGCCATGAATCACTTCTAGGAGATGAGCAATTAGTCATGGCTGCCATGGGTTTTTTGAGAAAGTGATAGCACAAATGCCATACATTTACCATCTACAGATTGCTCTGCTTTTGCAAATATAGGGAAACTCATCTTGAGTCCAGAGGACTCTTTCTAAACCAGAGGCTGTAGAATGAAAGGCGGGCTCCTGTAGGAGGGATCAGAATGGGATGCATGTAGCCAGGACAGAAGTGGAAGAGCATAGCTGGAGAACTGATTTGGAGGAGGACTTGGGCCTGTGCTGAGTCAAAGGCAGAGCCTGACGAGACAGTGGCCAAGTCATAGGCAGGATGTGGCTGACCTTGTAGAGGATGTAGATGAGCAGACCCAAGAGCAGGAGGCCAAAGAGGATGGCTAGGATAATGATCCACAGGGGGACACCTTGACTGCCTTCCGCCTTGGTCCACTGTACGGCTGTGGCCACCTGAGGAGCAAAGGGGGTATGGTCACTGAGAACCCAGAAATTCCTCTTCCCCTATGCTTGGCCCCTATTTGTCACTGGATCTAGACCCACCCCCTGCCTCTTATTAGAGCTAACTCCATTCTGAGCTTAAGTTTACATCGCCATGGGGCCAGCACATGGAGTGGTGATCAAGGTGCTGGACGCTCTCACATGGCTGACCACGGTTCAAGTCCTGGACCTGATGGCTTACTTTCTCACTCTCTCCCCCCCCCCCCATCATGTCTCTCTCTGGTCAAATTAAAGTAAATGACTGAATAAATAAAAATCAATAAATACTTCTTTAAAAAAATTTACATTCCCAAAAAGTGCAGCATTGTCTCGTACTTTTTAGTCTTCACATCTGCGATTCCCTCTTCAGAACATTCCTTTCTCGAATGATTAGAATGATTAGTCTGGTTAGTTCCTGTCTTAGCTTGATCATCACCTTGTCCCCCCCCCCCCCCGGCTTCTCTGAAACA